GTACGCTCCGGCCTTCCTCAGGATCTCTCAATATTTCTGAGATGAGATATTGTAACTATTTACATTATTTACATTGTTCAGACTGTTGTTCTCGTCTTTCTTGTCACATTCACGACGTTTCGACCGTTGTACGCTCCGGCCTTCCTCAGGATCTCTCAATATTTCTGAGATGAGGTATTGTAACTATTTACATTATTTACATTGTTCAGACTGTTGTCCTCGACTTTCTTGTCACATTCACGACGTTTCGACCGTTGTACGCTCCGGCCTTCCTCAGGATATCTCAATATTTCTGAGATGAGGTATTGTAACTATTTACATTATTTACATTGTTCAGACTGTTGTCCTCGACTTTCTTGTCACATTCACGACGTTTCGACCGTTGTACGCTCCGGCCTTCCTCAGGATATCTCAATATTTCTGAGATGAGGTATTGTAACTATTTACATTATTTACATTGTTCAGACTGTTGTCCTCGTCTTTCTTGTCACATTTACGACGTTTCGGCCGTTGTACGCTCCGGCCTTCCTCAGGATATCTCAATATTTCTGAGATGAGGTATTGTAACTATTTACATTATTTACATTGTTCAGACTGTTGTCCTCGTCTTTCTTGTCACATTTACGACGTTTCGGCCGTTGTACGCTCCGGCCTTCCTCAGGATATCTCAATATTTCTGAGATGAGGTATTGTAACTATTTACATTATTTACAATGTTCAGACTGTTGTCCGCGTCTTTATTGTCATATTCACGATGTTTCGATCGTGGTACGCTCCGGCCTTTCTCAGGATCTGTCTATATTTCTGAGATGAGGTATTGTAATTATTTACATTGTTTGGACTGCTGTCCTCGTCTTTATTGTCATATTCACGATGTTTCGACCGTTGTACGCTCCGGCCTTCATCAGGATTTGCCTATATTTCTAAGATGAGGTATGGTAATTATTTACACTATTTACATTGTTCGGACTGTTGTCCCCGTCTTTATTGTCATATTCACGATGTTTCGGCCGTTGTACGCTCCGGCCTTCTTCAGGTGATTAGAATTTCGAACTGAGCCCTTTATTTCGTTCACCTGATTAGATAGTTCTTAGCGCCATGCCTCTTCCGGATGTGTGAGTTATCTCCCTTTAACTCAACTCTCCAATTTTGTTTTGTTCACCTCTACCATAGCCAGGTTTTGAACTCACAAGTCTTTGGGTAAAAATCATTGGATCCAACCAACGCTTTTACCCACTGGACCCACCACTGCTTTTATCCCAGTGGTAAAAACAGTGGTGGACCCCCCCCAAAAAAAAAGTACGTAGAGAGTTAAGTTAAAGGAATATAACAGAGACATCCAGAAGAACTAGAACAATCTACCCGGGTGGACGAAATAAAGAATTCAATTCGAGAATCACCTGAAGAAGGCCGGAGCGTACAACGGCAGAAACGTCGTGAATATGGCAAAAAATAAATGAATAAATAAAATAAATAAAAAAATAAGGTTCGAACAATGTAAATAATGTAAACAATTTAACTTGACTGAATAAATTGGTAGGTACACTCGTTCTCTGACCTTTTGTCAATTTGCGCTTGAACTTCATTTTATCCTCCGCACGCTATTATCACTAATAATAATAAAAA